TACCACCTTCCAGCTCGGGTGCTGCAGCCATCAGCAGAAACACTGCCGACTCCCTTTGGTGACTTCTTCGGAGGAATGGACCATGTTGGGAACAAATCCGCTTTTTACTCCTTCCCAGCCATCTTGGATCTGGATGTCCCCACTTCGGACCAGCTCAAAGATTTCCCTTGTCAGATCTACAAATGCCTGAAGAATAAAAAACATCTTCAGTCAGAATTAAATTAAATTTACCTTAATTTCCAACAAATTTGGTTAGTTAGAATGCGTTGGACGACTACTTCCAACATAGAACCAAGTGCCTTAATAAATCAAATTATAGCTTGAAAACTGTATTTTGTATTTGCAATTTGCTTGACTATCTGAAACAATAAAGCCAAAACAGGAGACATTTCTGACGGTGCAGATACTTTTAAACATCGCTGTATAATCAGACCTTCTCCACATTAATAGCATCCCGTGCCGAAGTCTCCACATAACGCATCCCATAGGCCCCTGCCAGCTTCTCCGCCTCATGCTGGGTCACCTGCCGCTGGGCCTCCAGGTCACACTTGTGGCCGACGAGCAGGAAGACGATGCTGTGCGGCTGGACGTGACTTCGCGCCTCCTCCAGCCAGTTATGGACGTTCTGGAAGGAGCGGCGGTTCGTGATGTCAAAGAGCAAAAGGCCTCCCACTGAGTTACGGTAGTAGGCTCTGGTAATGGACCTGGACAGGAGAAAAACATGGGATTAATCTGTTTGTAGTTAACATGCTGAAGGCTTTTAATTGTTCCCACATTGTATCCCACTACAACCAAATATCGCGTTGAATTTTACTGGTATTATCTGAAATAGAGCGACAAAAAGAAGTTCTGGCAAATAGGAAATAAGGGGATAAAATGAATTTCACTGCATGTAGTGTTAAGGGAAATAATCTGAACTGGATCCTTCAAATCCATCAAGAACTGGGTGAGAATCAAGACGTGGAAAGTCCTGGGCCGAGTCAGAAATCTGAAACAGTAAGAACAGTCTTTCTTCTGTTCTTTCTTCTTCATAACTGAATCTGTGTTTTCTAACTTGTTTCACATTACAGTAAGCATGAAACAAAGAGATAATCCAATCAGAATTAGAAAACAAACAGGCTCTGCAAAATTAAATCAATTTTGGAATTAAGGGAATATAATACAAGAGCAAAACTAATGTGGCAAACTAGACAGGAGCAATAAAAACATGAAATAACAAATGGGATGAAGAGAAAAAATGAGCAGGCAGTAAAATTTGTCTAGTTTTGTTTACATAGGCTGACAAAAAGAGAAACTTGAAGCGGTGAGTAAAATATTGTCTCTACCTGAACCTCTCTTGTCCTGCAGTGTCCCAGATCTGAAGTTTGATCCTTTTTCCCGGCTCGATCTCCACCAGGCGAGAGAAGAAGTCCACACCCACAGTGGGGTCTGATACCTGGGCGAAGCGGCCCTCTGTGAACCTCCGGATCAGACATGACTTGCCCACTGTGGAGTCTCCGATGACAATCAGACGGAACTGGTAAAGCCATATTGTCTCCATGACTCATGTGACTTTAATCTGTCGCAGAGAAAGATGTCAGAAGGTTTTTCACCGAGCGTTAAACGGAAGAGAGAAGCTAAATCTCACACTAATAAAATTAACTTTAAATTGTTTATTTTTTTTTTCTGATCAGTTAATTGGTTTAGTTTGTACATTTTCATAAACACTCCTTTGCACAATTTCTCATAGTCATTCCACTTATATTACTTTTTGTTACACTATTGACATTTTAATGTTTTATTTTAGGTTTTTTGTGGTATATCAACTGAAGCAGAAGAAAAAATGGAAACATGACCTTTGAAATGTTTTAAAAATAAAAATCTTAAAAGCCACTTTGTGTTTTGGTATTCAGCCTTCTTTACTCTGACGTCCAAAAATAAAATCCACTGTAGCCACCTGCCTTTCAAAGTCACCTTATCACTATAAATCAACTGTGTTTTATTAATGTTGACGTATAAATCTATTCTGTTCATTAGAAAACATTGCAGAACAACATGATAAAAGCTCAGGATGAAAAGTGTTTTCGTCAAGATGCTTTTGCAGCAACAATCCGAACATCTCACAGAATACTGTTGAACGAAACATCTGAACATGAAAAAAGCCTGGCACAACTGAAAACATCAAGACAGCAGTTCATACTGAGAGATGATCAGTGAAACAACTGAGATACCCATGATAACGCTGGAGGAGCTGCACAACTCAGGTGAAAAATACAGATGTTGACAGAACAACTATAAGTTATGAACTACACAAATTTCACCTTTATGGGAAAGTGGAGAAAAGAAAGCCTTAAGATGTCCAGCTTATAGTTTGTCATACATCATTTATTGAGAGAAGACCAAAATTGAACTTTCAGACATACATGCAAAACTTTATTTTTGGGTTAAAGCACCGTTCCTACAGTCAGATACGGTGGAGGCAGTATCATGCTGAGGGTACGCTTCTTCAGCAGGAACAGAGAAAGATGTGGAGGTGATATGAAGATGGAAGGAGCTAAATGTAATACAATCCTGGAAGAAACTCTGCTGCAAACTGGAGAGGATGTTCACCTTCCCACAGGATAATGACATTCCTGCCAGAGTTAAAGAGGAATGGTGCAGATCAGAGCATATTTATGTGTTGGAACGGCTCCATCAAATTCAAAGTCTAGATCGTATTGAAAACAGGACAGTCTTCTTCAAACGTGGCAAAATTTGAGCTAGTTTGCAAAAAAAGGATTAACAAAAAAAGTGTGTAAATATGTTAAAAGCTGCAATCTAAAAAAATATAGAAATGTTCAATGAACACTAACATCTTTGCAAAGCTCTAAAAATACCAAAGTAAATTGTTCTAAAAGTAACAACAATCAAATTTCTTCTTTTAAACAGTGCATCTGTTTAAAAAGCATGAAATAAATCAGTTGAGCCCCTGTATGTGTCAATTATATTATAATTTTTGGTTCATAACAATATTATAAAAAGCTCAAATCATCTCAGCCCTGTGCAAGTGATTCACAGTGGGGTGATCTAATTTGAGGAGATAAGAGTGAGGGGGAGGGCGCTCCTCTCCAACTCAATAAACAGTGGTGTAGTCAGCCCCCATGTGGATTATAGAGTAGCTGGTAGGGAGCAATAACACTCAGTGAGGCGTTGGAGCAAGTCATGTATGCTTTCAGTGAAGAAATACATGCAGAATATAACATGTTGTTGCCCAGGTTCCTAAAAGGTAAACAAAGCTGTTTTATCCATTAGGCCTCCCCTAAATCATCCCAGGAGTATTTTTATTCTACATATTTAAGATTATACATAAATACCTGAAGATGGCCTACCTTGGTTCTGAGCTCAGCAGCAGTGAAAAACAAGCTCCATGTTGATGATTGTGTCTTCTGAAAATGACCCCTGAGGCTTTCGGTAGCTATGATGCAGCTTCTTACAGGAATAACCCGCAAAAGACGCAACACATGAATCACGGTTTCAAAGGTGCAGGATATGGCTGCTCAGCGCGCAGAGCAGCTAGTGAAGCTAGTGATGGGAGCTGCTGATATTTCCGTGTGATCATCCGAAATGGCAGCAGGACACAGCACCACCACCAGCAGCAGCGGCAGCAGCATCACGCACAAACACCTCTTCCTCGCCCTCATCAGCACCAGTACCGTAACTACACCGACAACAGCGCAGCGACAAACTATCAAGCTGCTGCATTCATGGCCTGGAGAAACAGAATGGCGTGAGGTACACAGTTGTATTTAACTTTATCACTGCGTGCAAAGAATGATGTTTAGATAACCACCGGCTTTTGCAACTTAGTTTTACATACTGAAGCCCAATGTAAAATCAAACATAACCGGATAATTCATCTTTAAGCTTTTTGCACAAAAATAAAACAGCACACATTCCTACTTTAAAAGGTTGTATATTTTCTGTTGATTCCTATTTGAACGGTTTGCACCGTGTGTTGGTGTCGCAACTGTAGGGTTTTACTATTACTTTTGGTGTTATACGTGACGGATTGAGTTATAACAGAGAATGAAGTGGAACGTCTCCAGAACATTTATGAAAATTCACTCAATTTCTACAATTAAATAGCTTCCGTTTTTATGACATGATGAAATGATATGTACAAAACTACTAAAAACAGTTTAGATTTACTTAATCGTGACGCTTTCAGGACAGAAAAGTGAGGAGGCTGAAAGCGATATTTCCAAGCAGTACTTGAAGTAACCATTTACTCTCACTAAGACAGATGTTAGACACGGACTCAAAATATAATGTGACTGCCTGTTTGCCGCAAACTGCAGCGCTTCATTTGTGGACTGATGTAACCTAGCTCGTATTTTGTCAACAAAGCAGACGATGTATTCAGGTACTGTAGGCATAGAATGTCGTAATGCTCAAACAGGGACACAAAATTCATGCAAAAACATTCTTTCATATTTTAGGCTTAAAAACGTAAAAGAAAAACGTTTTAAATAAATCCTTTGACATAACATAGGCCTATAACTTGACCAATCGAGCCACACCTTGGTGTAGATGTTAGAATTTCAATTTCAATTTTATATATATATATATATATATATATATATATATATATATATATATATATATATATATATATATATATATATATATATATATATTATTTCCCCTAATAATTGTTATATTATATCGAAAGATTGGAGAAAAGAATGTGGTTGATGCCTAGATTTACGAGCAGCTCTTGAATGCACCATCATCTCGTCTTATTCGGCTGTTAGACACGCGTTCAAACTGTTATAATAGGTTAGCCTTAAAATGATCGGCTCAGACCGTCAACGCTGTTTTTCCTGCAGACCGAATTGATGTGATGTTTTGTTCGTAATTTCACAGAAACAAAAACAACTTTCCATGACTTTTTTGTCACCAATATCAAGTTTTTCAACATCATTTTGTGTATTTATTTATTTCCCCCTTTATTTTTATTTTATTTATTTATTTATTTATTTTTGTCGTTTTTGCCGAGCTGCAGGCATGCAGCAGGAGCTTCTTTTCAAAGTCCTGGTTGTCGGGGATCTTGGTGTCGGGAAAACGTCTATCATCAAGCGGTACGTTCATCAGATCTTCTCCCAGCACTACAGAGCCACCATCGGGGTTGACTTCGCGCTGAAAGTTCTGCAGTGGGACAGTGACACCGTGATCCGGCTGCAGCTGTGGGACATAGCAGGTCTGCCTCAGCTTTGTACACCAAAACAAGAAAAACAGCAATCTTTTGAGCTGATATTTTAAAAAATAATAATTTAAGAGCAAGTACTCACAAACCTGAAAGTACTTTAACGTGGCTGTTGTGTTTGTGACTGTGTCAGAAATTGGAACAATAAAAAATACTTCCCCAGTGAGTCAGGCTGCCCTCTGCATGCCACAGAGCCTCCCTGTACTTGATACCTCCTCGTGGAATGTAGATCTTGTGTCTGACTGTGACTGAAGTGATCCCATGATCAATAATATCAATCACATGATGGCAGCTACCGTAAAATAAATGGACTCGCTCTCTCACACACACATTCAGATATTTGTGGAGTTGATTTGCTGTTCTTTTGTCCCAGGACAGGAGCGGTACGGGAACATGACCCGTGTCTACTACAGGGAGGCGGTGGGAGCACTGGTGGTGTTTGATGTGACGAGGGCCTCCACGTTTGAGGCTGTGCTGAAGTGGAAGGATGACCTGGACTCTAAGGTGAGACAAACTCAGATTTAGGATTAGGGATTTTGTGTCCTTTTCTGATCACTCTGTTTCTCTCAGTCTGTAACCTTACAAAAACAGAGACCTTTCTTGGTAATTCAGATGCTATGGAAACAATAAATCTGTGAATGTAATTGAATGTGATCATGCAGTGATACAGAAATCAGCATAGAAGTAACTTTCTGTACTAGATGTTGAATAAAATGGACTGAAAATGGAGCCTTGAGGAATCAGATGTATAATTGCTAATCGATGCAAAGTAAAGCTGATCCGGTGATTAAGATTTGAACTAGTTTTCCACTGAACAAGACATTCACACACTTTTCCAGTCAACCAATTAGTGTTTTATAGCCAACTATGACACTCTTAAGATTCAGTAACACCAACACAGAAGTTTTAGATGTGTTGCTTTTAAGCTATTTGTCATTTAAAACCTTTACCAGTGCTGTATCAATGCTGTGATATGGTCAAATCCCCTGACTGGAAAGCATTTTTTAATTAAAAAGCTTTAAATTTGTTGTGGACTTTGATCAAGAGATGACAAAATACGTGTGGTAAGAAATGTTGTAATATCTCATAATCTACGCTAGGGGGCGCAGGCAAGCCTTGAATAAAAGTGGCCTGAAGGTGGAGCCTTGTGAAACTCTGCATGTCATCTTTGTCTGCTGAGATTTACAATTACAATTGGTTGGTTGTAAAAATCTAAAAAAACACTCATACAGGTGAAAGAGTATTTTTGGGCTTGACTTTGACTTTGTTCTGGTTAAATTTTTGGATATAAAATAGCAGATGATGCAGCTGTAACGTGAGGTTCATTTCATCTTTCCTCAGGTGACCCTGAACCATGGGAGACCAGTTCCTGCTGTTCTGCTTGCCAACAAGTCAGACCAAATATCGTGTCAGCTGCCCAAACTGGACTTCTTCTGCAGGGAGAACGGGTTTGTGGGCTGGTTTGAGACTTCTGCAAAGGTAACATCACTTTGAAAACCAGAACAACAGCATCCAGACCCATGCTGCTGATTTTTAATGCAGAAGTGCACTAGTGCTATTAAATACCTTTGAAAGCAGATTACCAAAGGAAAAATACTTAGGATAAATAGTAAAAGGCAACAACAGCTGACTATAAAATCAAAAGATTTGCTTGAAACACAAATTATTTTCTTTGTTTTTAAGAGAGAAACTGAATAAAAGTGTAGCGTGAAGTCCAGATTTCTGTTTTTCTCCCTTTCTGGCTCAATGTGTCTAAAGAATTACATCAGAGTAAAAGTCAGAGAAAACATTTGAGTTGAAGAATCCGTAAACTCTGCAGACAGCTCAGTGAGATCAGGACAGAAACATCCACTGCGGGTTCACAGCAGGATCCTGAGCTGAGCACGGAAACCTGACTGAAAGACATCACAGCTGATGGTCGTTGTTAAGAAGACGCTTCATTGTTAAAACACCGTAATGTCACTGACAAATAATTTTGGGCTGTGTATGCTCTCAAACAGCTGGAAAAACCATTTTTGACTTTTCAGTAGCACAAGACCAAAATGTAACACATCCAGGTTTCGAAAATCTACACATTTTATTCTGAATTCACAGAAACCTAACTGCAAATTCACCAGATACTTTTCTTTGAACCTCTAAAATCCAATTTATGGTGTTACTAAATCCAGGGGAAAAAATTGTTTTGTAGCATTCTGCTCATTCATGATGCAAAATAAGTTGCAAAGAACATTTCTTTAGAAATGCTTATGTGTTCTGACCATCAGGAAAACAGAAACATCGACGAGGCAGCGCGCTGTTTGGTGGAGCACATCATGAACAACGAGGAGAGCTCGGTGTCAGAGCGAGAGCCGTCCTCCGTCCTCCTGTCGGGATACGCCAGCACCGCCAGGAGTCCTGAAAACTGTTCTTCATGTTTAAAATAATCACATTACATCAGGGACAAAAGATCTGAAAGAAAAGTTCCTTTTATAAGTTACATGTAGAAGTAATAACATTATTTAAAGCTGTGCTCACACTCCAGTATAGTGGAGTATATAAAGTGGAGCACAAAAAGCAAGAGTTTTGTTTTTTATGGTTTTACTTTTTGTTATTTAACTAACTAGAAAAATGTAAACACATAAAATGTGAACATTCTCAGAAAGATTGACCTAATATTTAGTTTGTGAGCCACGAATCACAGGCAATGTGAGTTCATGGTTTGAATGTTTGTATCAGTTTCTGCAATTAACACAATAATGTCAGCTTGGTCATGAAGCGGAGTCATGCTATTTTGTGTTTTAGATTTCTGTGTCCCTGAAAATAAAAAGAAGCCTAATATCCAAATATGCATTTTTATGTTTAACTATCTAGAAAAATGAAAAAGTGATTATTTCAAATAATTACCTTCTCTGAATGTTTTGCAACCAGGCACTTCTGCAAAATTCTTTGGAGAAAAAAAATCCAGACCTCTGTGGAGGACAGTTGTGAAATGGTAATTGGACTGAATTTTACGGAAGAGGATTAGGGCCACTGGAAAAAAGAAAAAAAAATCTGACTTTAATCTCATAATTCTGACTTTTTTTTCTCAGAATTCTGAGATTAAAGTCAGAACTGTTTTATTTTTTTTCCAGTGGCCCCAATCCTCTTCCATAGAGCTTATATAGTACTTTTCCAGTCATTTTGACCACTCAAAGCACTTTACATTAGAGTCACATTCACACATCGATAGGTTAGCAATTTGGGGTTAAGTGCCTTGCCCAAGGGCAGATTGACACATGGCAGGAGGAAGCTGGAGTCGAACCTATATAACCTTCCAATTGCAAGATGACTACTCTACCCACAGAGCCACAGTCACTTGATTCGACCCAGAAACGTCTGATCACGTGTGGTTAGATGACTGCAGCCAGGTGTAACGGCTGCAGCAGGTTCACCACACCCTGCAGCAGACCTAAGGCTCAGGAGGAAGGCATTTATAAACTAACTTTAATCTGTTGAGGTAAAAATGTCCAATCAGGAACATTTTAACCTATCTACTTATTGTAACTGCATCGGAGAAGAAAAACAATTAAGAATTTCTCAATCATATATTTTGTGCTTTTGAGATCTGAATGTGTCCCAATTATCTCAATGCTGCAGTCTCTGCTTATCTTGACAAAGACAAATACCTTGTCCCAGCAGGACCTTCTGCAGGGCAGCCTTTTCTCTCTATGAAGCTGCAATACTGTGTGCAACATTATAAACAATTATCAGCTGCTTGAATGGTTCCTTGTGTTCTTCTATTCTGCAGAGAAAAAATTACAACTATCCGCTAAGGTCAAAATAGAAATAGAAGTAATTATGGTTTCTGTGTCTAGTTAGTGGCATCTCCAGTCCAAAGAAAATACAAACACCCTTGGAGAGACGAGTTTTTGCTGCAGACATAAAAGCAAACTGTTTCAGAGCTGACTTGCTGTCAGACTGTTGCACCATTGTTGTTGTAAGTTGTTGTTTACAACCACAAAATCAATATCTTCCCAAATCTGAGTCTTTTCTTTCTCTCTTTAAAATCAGCAAAGAGAACCTGTCTGCTTTTGTGCCAGCGTCCTTTGAGTGTTATTTAAAATTCAGTGTTTTCTATTGCGTTGGATTTTACTTCACAGCTGGTAATGAGCTCCTGGATCAATTTGTAAAATTACAAATGTGTGTCTCTATTCTTTGTGGACATGCCAAAGACAAATAATTCTTGTTTTTGTGTCTGTTGTGTTTTTAGGATCTCTTCATAAATCACAAGATGCTTCAATAAAATCTCACAAAACAAGATAAAGTATGAGAGCTTAAAGATCGTCCGCAACCATATATTTTTAATTATTGTCAATCCTAGACATAAAAAACACCTCCAAGATCAATAGGTAATTAAACACCTGGAAAAAAACAATTAATTTTTATAACTAATGGCATGAAGAAAACCCAAGAGACCTTGGAGGGCGTGCATGCTAAATTAAACTTTTATGATGAAAAAAGATGAAAAAAATATTGTTTTATTGCATGGTCTTAACGGGGCTTCATCCCTGTTGTCAGAAGATATTAAGGGCCTGTGAGCCTCAGCGACAAAAAGGCTGAAGTGAGAAAACATAATTATGCTGAAGGGATTCCAACTCAGACTGGGGTTGAGACTCATCCAAACCAATTTCATGCCAGACAAAACGAAGAGTGAGATCTTCTCTTTTATTAAAAACACACACATATGTTTTACCCAACTAGGCATTCATGGAGGACAGGATGTGAACATCTAACTTCTCTCATATACTAGCGTAAGCACTGGTCCTTTAACTTAACATACAAAAGAGTTGAGCTGAGCAAAACCTACAAAAAATCATATCACAATTTACAAATTCATGTTTTGATTTGAACCTTTTGATGAAATACTCAGATGAGTTAATCCACTTGATTTTCTAATATACAATAACATATTTAGATATTACTTTAACTTTGCAAGTTATTTATCTAACCAAGTCCAGTAGACAGCATTATGTTGTTGACTTTGCAGCAATCACCTCTCCTTTCATGCAAGTGGCAACAAGGGGAAGGCTTAATTTTTGCAGGAATAAAAGGAATGTGGCTCAGTAGAAGCAGCCATCTACCACAATCAACAAAGAACGGTTGAGTGGACAGAAAGGAGGCAGAAGCACTGAGCAAGGAGTACTTTCTATGAGAAAGAGAAAAAAAATACACTAATTTATTTGAAGCAATATCTCTGTCAGTGGTTTCCTCCTTTAAAATGATGTAGTAAACACAGAATAACTGCTGGAAGTACTTTCCTAACCACAGCTGTGCCAACATCTCTACCTAGAAAACAGACAAAATACAGAAACAATGTGCCGGTACTTTCTGTCTGAGGGAAAAACAAAGAGTACATCTTTGGTCGAGTTCTGACCGGCCAGGTGTAACTTCTCTGAAGGGAAACACTCTGCAGCGCTCCAGACTGATCTTAGCATGACTCCGTTTTACAGTTTCAGTCATGCAAACTGAAAAATACCAGCTAACCAGAATGAATTGCAACAAAGAGAAATTCTCCTTCGAATGATGTCTTTGAATTTCCATACACCATCAAATCAAGCTGCTAGTTGAGGGACACACATTGTAAAAAAAAAAAAAAAATTAAAACAACTGGCTAATCTAATGATAACAGGGTATATGTTGGCATAAATATAGTATCACAAATTAAAGAGACAGAAGCTCCTTAAAGGTGGGTCTTCGTGTTTAGATTTGTCTTGAGGCATCAGTGCTCAGCAAGGTGACCACAGCAGATAATTGCCTCATCAACTGGGTTCTGCTTTAAGACGCCCTCCCCAGACCCGAGAAGTTGCCCAATCGCCCTCCTCTCCGTCACCTGATTCACGTGCTGCCATTTCACACACAAGTTTGACTGACATAACAATAATTGAGAGGGGGGGGAGATAAGAATTGGCCTATCGGTAACCTTTAAGAGAGAAATACTCCCCCTTTTTTTAGTGCGCAGACTGAAAGAGGCTGAGGTTGGTGCAGCCAGCGCGGGTGTTGTGGGCATCAGAGAGGTGTTTGCGCTCGGATCGCTTTGATTCTGGAGGAGAAACCGGGTCAAGAAGAGGGAGACTGCTGGGAAGGAAATGACAATGCTGTTTCGTGTCGTTTCGTCGCTCACAGCGGATGCAACGCAGATTTTACTACTAGTCACCGTCCGTTTTTAGATTAGGGACATTTCGGATTCGGCGTTGGCACGGACGCACCCTGCCACCGGCATCCCAGCCTTTGGGCAGCATCTATTTCAGGGATCGCTCACTGTGCGCTGGCTACACTGCATGCCAGCAAGCTCTTTATGCAGATTTCTACCTACATTCGTCGTTTTGCCTGAATGTGATTGTCATTTTCTACATGATTTTTTTGGCCGCCGCATGAATTCTCCCACCGGATCCTCGTCGGTGTACTCTGCTGCTTCTCTCCTCCTCCTTCTCCTCCTCCTTCTCCTCTTCCTCCTGACTCTCACAGAGGGCACTACCCTCCTCCCTACCACTAAAGACATTTTGATCGTCCTCCCCAGCTCCCCCCACCCGGACACGACCACCATCACCACCACCACCACCTCCGCCACCTCCTCCTCCTCTTCCTCCTCCTCCACTGTAACATGTCGGGACAGTCTTTGACGGACCGGATCGCCGCCGCGCAGCACAGCATGACCGGCTCTGCCATCAGCAAAGCCGTCTGCAAGGCCACGACGCATGAAGTCAGCGGACCCAAGAAGAAACACCTTGACTGTAGGTTGAAAGCATGCCATCACTGCTCCTAGCTGCTGTAGCTCATAGAATAGCCTGCATGCACCTTTTCTCTCTCGCTCTCTCACAAAGGACAGCCTGTACAAACAGCATCCGGCCGGGTTATGTTTGCGACCTGTTTTTATTAGAAATAAGTATATGCGTCTGGGATGTGCGGGGGGCAAAAGCGCGCACGCAACAATGAGCCTGAGCATCATCAGCGCAAGATTTAAATAAAGGGGCGAGGGAGCAGGGCACTATCTGGGCATGTCATTCTGGGGAAATAGGCCACTCTGGAATGGGCTAATCACATTGCAACCAGCCGCTTTATATTGTGGGCCTATCCATTATTAACGCCACTATCAGCAGCAGCAGCAGCAGCAGCAGCAGCGTGCATGCAGCACTAGGCTACATTCCCCTGGAGACACTTCAGTACATAATGTGCATTATCGTGCAGCATCACCAAACATCTTCCTCTTCATTTCCACAACCGCGCATTCAAGTTCACTGTCGCGTCCTCTGGGGTTTCATCATTAATGAATGTCCTGCTGTCAGTCCTGGACGCACAATAGCTTCACTTCTGTCTGTTGGTTATAAAAAAGGCGTCAGAAAACAGAATTGTTTATTATCTTAAAATAAAAACACGAGATTTATATTATGAAACTTAGCTAAAATATAGTGACTTCCCTTATAAAATGGATAATATATAGGTAATAAATTTGTTTTTAATGAATCTGTGAATACTTTATAAACTGTTAATATTGTGGAATAGAGGACAATCAGTGATCAATATTTTATCAATACTAAAAATTTCCTGTAGCTTTTTAAAAACTGCTCAATAGTTCTTCACAAAAGCTGAATATATATCAGTTCATGGTTTTACAAGCCCTTTATTGGGATAGTCTTATGATTTTACAATACGACTGCTTTTATAAATGGCTTGGAAATTGTTCATAAACCATATAATGAAGCTATTAATCATAAACCATTAATACTGAGCTATAACACATTATTAATCAGAAACATTTAGAACTACAAAGGATTCTGTTTATACATGGCTAATAAATAGTTAACCAGTTATTAAATAAGCTATGAACGTCTCATAATGGATTATTATGGACTTGTTGTGCATTATTTAAAGGGTGAGAGTGAAGTTAAAAGTGACCAGTGCCCCATGTAACAGCTGCATAGTCACAGTTTATAGTGTCAACAGCTTAGTTAACATACTTTACACTTTAAAATATGGCTATTAGGAATGATTAATAAATAATTAATAAACGAGATAGATAGATAGATAGATAGATAGATAGATAGATAGATAGATAGATAGATAGATAGATAGATAGATAGATAGATAGATAGATAGATAGATAGATAGAGTTATATTCTAAGCAAAAAGCACAAATTTAGGTGTCAAAATAAAACAATAAAAACGTGTTGAATATATTTTAGCAGCTTTTTTAGTTTGCTTTTCTGTTTTCATTTAAAAAATCAAAGTAGTTAGACCTCATTTTCTGTGTAAGTACTGTAATATCTTAGTATTTTCCAAGAGCTTAACTGTATATCAACCATGCGTACTCTACATATAGTGCTTTTCACAGCCCTGTCAGTCTAAACGTCTCTGAGGTTTAACCAGTCTGTATATGATGTTGAACCAGAGAAGATCAAAAACAACCAAAACTCCTAAAAAAACCCAGAAAAGCCTTTTGATTTAGCGCTGAAACAAAAGATACAATCAGATAGAAACTTCAGCATCATCAGCCACTCTTTGTGTTCAGCCTTACTTACACCACAGGAGGGGGCCTGTTCTGATTGAGTTGGCAGTGAATAAATGATACAAATTATACTTCTTTTTTTTTTTTTTTCTTTTTTGTTTTTTGGTGCCCTGCAGGCCATGGCGCCCTGGGCAGAAAACCACGTCACCCACTGCATATAGATTACCTGATTGACTGTACCTGCACAGGGTTTCCCCTGCATGTACATTTTACCAGTGATTGTAATTAGGTTAGGTGGCCTTTTCAAGATTTTTTTTCTTCTTTTTTTTACAATCACTTGACATAATTGATAGAGAGCACATCCAATCAACGCAGCCGAGGGTCGGACAGACTGAAAAAAAAGACAGAAAATGAACAAAAAGAGTGAGATGGCTAATCTGGAGGAAAATGTGGATAAATCAGCCGGAGAGACACCACGAGGCAAGTAGCCAAACAGCCTGCGAGTCAGTCATCCAGCTGCATGCCCAGCCAGTCAGCCGGCAACTCTGGCAGCGCATTACTCAGTCATGTCCACAGCAGAGACACTGGGAATTGTGGGTCCCTTTAGGGAGGTTTGCCACCGGGCGTTCTGACATCTGTATTACTTTGCCCCTATTTAAATTCAAAAAACAAACAAAGAAAAACAAAAACTCATTAGACTGACTGAAAATCATCAAAAAGCACTGGTGCAACAATAAGTAATTACTGATTGTTTGATTTAATCACTGCCTCGCACAAACTAATTAAGAAGGTTTTAAGTGGACTGTGTGTTTTTTGGGGAGGTGGTTGTTTTGTGGGTAGAAGCTGAAGATTTCTGCTTTGTGCTTTGATTACATGAATTTAATTCAACAGACGACTTCAAATAAAGCATTGATATAAACTCTGAAAAATATCAGACGAAGTGCCTCGAGTAATTAGATTTATTTCTGGCAAATCTTCAAGCACTCGGTAGCTGTGCCGATATTAATTTGTAGAAGGCTGCCCACTTCAGTGCCTGTCGTGAGTGGGAGTATTCAGAAAATTAAAGCAAAGCTTGTACAGTTTCAACAATGGATTTTATGTAACTGCTCTCAAGGACAAAATAGTTTCACCTACAACGGTCCACAAAGAAAGCATACATGAGACTTTTTATTGAACTGAAAGGAAACTCTGCTCCTTGTTCCATTAATCTGCCCCAGCTTACTTGTTTAGCTGTTTTGTTCTGTGAGATACTTTCTATTTCAGCTGGAGGGCCTCTCTTGTATAAGGCAGGGTGCAGCATGCAGAGCGTGAAATGTTCAAGGCATCGGGAAATGTATTCGTGATGAGGAGGTCAGTGGTTCTGAACCTGCGGCTGGCTGAGGGGACCTTGGTGACTGAGTGAATAAAGACCCAACAAAACTTCTCCGGAGGAAACTCTGATGAGTCATATGAGAGCAACGTCAGCCCCTCATTTTCACTTACACCATATCCACGCTCTCTTTGTGCAGCCATCACTGCATTCTTGTTTTGTTTTTCCTCTTTTCCCTGAACTACCTGGTAAACAAGGTTCTAAAAAGCAACACTTTGTAATGGAACAGCCCGGAAAAGCTCTTGGCAGGATTGAGAACAGAAAGTGAGACAAAATGAATGTGTAGAATAGACCTGAGAGCTGGAAGGACAGAAGCCTCATAAAAATAAAAATAAAAATCCTGGGTTATATTTGACCATTTGTCTAATGCATCCTTCTAAACCTGAGTACAGTTTGGTACATGATCATACTAAATATGAGGGTTGAGAATGAGATTTTCTTTCATGGCCACAGCTGCAGGTACAGCTCTACCTGAGTGGCATGTTCTCTTGTATTTCCCATTTTGAAGAGTGGCTAAAAAAAACCCAAAGAATAAATAAATGAAAATATTTTTAGAACTTTATGACAAAATTTCAAAAAAATCTGTTTTATATGTATTGTTGAGTGTTAATAGTTATTCTAATTGTAATATTAAAAAAATCCTAATGTTGGATTTTTTTTCTGTAACAGAAAGTAGCCCTTGCTTACCGTTAGGTACGGTAGAGAACCTATAATGCTGTGGGCCGAAGGCCCTATGCTCCTTTTTAGAGAGCATGACATCATGAGATTTGTAAAATATCAGGATGTTTTTAATAAAAATCCATTAGAAATTTGAAATAGGGCATTTGAGCAGCATGATGATCCAAACCAGTCTGACCAAACCTACACAGCTGCGCTTACCAGGCAGACAGATCCACATTCCTCCAGTCCCCAGACTGCTTTAAAGTGTTACAGGAAAAGAATAAAGGCTGCCTGATGTGTAATAACGGGTTATAAAGCATTAACAGCAGTGGTAACAACCTTAGAGAAGCAATAGTTATGATTTAATATAGGACATTTTCCATAATAAATAAAAATACTCAAACTATAATTTGTATTTTTCAACAATTTTCAGTGTGAGATTATGTTACTATTTCGACACGTTTCGGACATCTGGTTTGAAAAGGTGAGGACTGCCTTTTCTTTTTTCCATTCTTTGAACCCAATTGCTAAAAAAATCACAGAGAAGAACAAAAGCGCCGTCGATGACGCCACTTCTCCTCACAGGCAGCCAAGGGTGCCTAAATTGGCTCCACTTACTCCCACATCTGTGTGTCATTTTAATGACCTCATCTTTTCAGTAGATTTCGTACCCTCGATATTTCTTCATTCCATCTAAAGCCAAGGTCTTAAAGCAGACTGAATAAAGTTTTATGGCTTTTTACAGTAAGTCTCTTTATGAGCAGAAATCTTTCACAGACCAAGGCCTTCTATTTTATCTTAAAGAGCATTAAACATGTCCTGAATTTTGAAAAGACACAACCGTCTGACACTGATAACATCCAAGCCATTTTTTAATCACGTTTTCGATTTATATGATTTCCAATGTGCGCTGTGGGTTATCAGTACTAACAGTTGGCCACCATAGGATCAATACTGCTTCCCTCTGGCTGTTTGCACTGCCACATATCGGTGGTTAAATCCCTTCTGATTTTTTTTATCATGTATGAAAATATCTGCCAGAAGAACCACTGAACAGTATAGACAGAATGGAATCATAGCAAGCTTTCAAATAAACATTTCAGTTTGAAAATTTCTGCAGAAAAGTTGCTAAATAAACCCTGAAAGTAAATTGCCTTTCTGGATACCTGGAGATTTCACGCTCCTTACTCTGATTTCAGTCTGGATCAACCCCCCCTGGGGAAATAAGCGGTGTGTCAGCAGCTATCTCCTCGCTTCAGCGGCTAGTTGTCAACTTTGTCTCTGTGAGACCGGTCAGGTTGTGCATCAGAGCTTCAGAGCAGAAAACAGCTGTCTGCTTTAGCATGAAAAGTACGATATGAGCGAAAACAGATACCAGATGTTTCCATGCACACAAAACCATTTCCACCTAAATATAAAAACTGTTTTTAAGAGGAAAACGTAATTCAAACTAACTTGGCTTTGAGCAGAAATAAATATTTGCTCCCTTTACCTAATTGCAAGTTGTACTGATTTTAGATTGTTCAGAGCTAATAAGAGGTGGACTTGCTGTTGTGTCTTGGTGCATCACAACATATGCTTGAACTGAAGGTCATAATTCATGGATGGTGAGATTTTTGAGATTATTTATTCTACATCGTGTTGTCAAACAGGTTGTTTAAGGAATTTCATGATTCCACAAGTCAAGCAGTAATCAGGAGAGGGTGAAGCTTTCCAACATACACACAGCTTTATTACTGTAAACAGAACATTTCTCATTTTTTTGCAAATAAATACAAAGTTTTTGCCTGGCAGGTTGTCAGCAGTTCATAGAATAAAAGGGCGATGTTCATTTTACTGAATCATGAAAAGTAAAACCAGAGAAACTGATCACTTTAAGTGGTCTCTTACTTTTTGCTGTGTATTAAAGACATATTTGTTTTTTTATGAATTCTTCCAGACACTGAAGGCGTGCAGACCTTTGACTAATATTTGCCCTTTAAACAGACAAATATCATGGCATGTATGCAGCACAGTGAGTGTCATACACAGACTGACTTCATTTTTCTTACAGCAGTCAAACACAAATGTGTCAGCAAAGCAAAATTAAGGTTTTATTATTATTTCTTATTGAGTGTGTGATTCGTGTGGAGGGTTTCACACTGATAACTGGGGTAAAAAGCTAAACGGCGTCTCCTGAGGTGGATTATCATTTGTGTGTTTCTTCAAGGAATGTTTTGCATCCTGGGATGAAGAAGACTCTAAGCTGTCAGTGTTAAACATCCCCGATGACCTCAGTTTGCTTGTGAAACAATTTGACATTTTCTCAATAACTCATCAAAATCTCTCCTCTTGGGACTGTTGTTTCCTCCATGCAACTAATTCATTACCTCCATGTTTTGGATGTGGTATTTTTTACATGTATGTGTATCTATGGTTTAGGTTACGCATTTACTTGTATCTAACGGGTTCTGCTGCTGATTCCCGTCCACCTGCTCATCAGTTGGTCTCATCTTACTCAGGTTTAAAGCTTTTGCAGAATTGATCCAAGACAAGATGTAAAATGTCTTTACACAGAATCAACAGTCTCATCAAATTACAATCCATTTATCATCATTTACTGTCGAAATGCACAGAAATACAAACTGCTAAGTCAATGAAATCCATAGTCTTTTTATTGGTGTATATCAGAAAATCAGAACAATATGATTTAGCTGACTTATAGGCATGCAGCTAAATCTGTATATGTAATGCCACAAAATGCTCCTGTGCCATTTTATAAGGAGTCGGTAAATCTCTGGGCTTTAACAGATGCCACGCATTCTTCGTTTGCTAGAATCCATAAGGAATCTGGGCCACAGTTCCTGCAGCCTGACCCAGTTTTATGTCGACTAGTAAAATTTAAATGATCTGTACAGCACCTTGCAAAGGTATTTGCACCACTTGAAGTTTTTCATATGTTCGTAATGCTACCTTGCAGGATTTTATTGAAGTTTCACGACAAACCAACTCACAGCAGTCTGTAAGTGTGAGAAGAGAAGAAAGGGGAACATGGTTTTCAACATTTTATTTACAAATAAAAATCTGAATAATGAGGCATGATTTGTATTCAGCCTGCCTGAGTTAATAGTTTACATAACCGTCGTCTGCTGTATTTACAGATGGAAATCTTTTTGAGTATGTCTCCACCAGTTTTACACTGAGCTCTGCCCATTCTTTGCAAAATAGTTTGAATTCAGTCGTACTGCATGGGGAGCGATGTGCAGTGTTAGTTTTCAAAGAATTTTGCATCAAGGCCAAAAAGTGCAGTTTTGGTCTCATCTGACTAGAACACTTTCTTTCTCCCTGATGGAAACCTGTAAATGGGACTTCTGATTGCTGTCTTTCGGTTGTGGCTTTCTTTTTTGCTGCAGTTCTTTAAAGGCCAGATTTGTGGATTGTATGACCAATCGTTATCCTGCCCAAAGTTTCTCCTACTTGAAATGTGGATTTGTTCCTCTCCTCCAGAGTTACCATGCGGCTCTTGATTCTCTGTCTCCAGACGAACCGTTTCTTTTTCACATCATCTCTACTCTGTGAGACTTTCAATAACTGACACATTGTTTTACAACCTAACCCTTCTCTGAACTTCTCCACTACTTTCTTCCTAGCCTTTCTGTTGTGGTCTTCAAGATGTTTGTTCACTAATGTTCTCCAACAATTGTTGGTCTATAATGCAAATAAAACGCATCGACGTTCTTTGTTGTAATGTTACAAAACTTGAAATAGTCCAAGTGGTGTGAATACTTTCCAAACACACTCTTCAGCCAGTTTTATTCCAACATTTCCTGATGTTTATTAAACCTTTAAATATAGGAAACCGGCACAACATGGCACTCTTACCTCGTTGATATGTGCTTCACATATCCTTAAAGTGAAAAATGTATACCCCAGACAGATGAATTTTATCTCAGTCAAACTAACAAGGACCCTCCAGAGAAAATTTCTCATTCATTACTCTCTATCTGTTAAAACATGTGTCTGGCAACGGAACAAATTAGATCTTGCGGCTTGCTCTACAAACATTTGAGCTGAATAGGTGGAAAGCTGTGCAGCTACATAATGGGGTTGTGAAAAATGTGTTTTTTATTCTGATTCATCTGCCTACACAGTTACTCTTATTAAAACTCTTCTTTGTTATTAGATTTGTGTGCAGTTATTGAGTCGGAGAAAATGAATGCAGCAGTCGATGTGAATCTCAGTGGCTCTCCTTATTCCATTGATTCAGGGCTCCCCAAAGATATAAATTTATGTTGTTTTTTTTCATAGCCGCTGCTTTTACTCACAGTAATTTAAAGCATTCTCCACATTTACTAGCACTTCTGGTAAAACACCATTCAAATTATTTCATATTTTATCACTATGGGACAATCTTACCCTGAAAAAAGTGATTCCAGAAGCAGAGAAAGGGATCTTTGACCATTTTGGACAATATTTCAAGATCCTGCAGAATCCTTGTCCCCTTCTTATTCACTCTGTCCTCTAGTGTCCTTGTGCTTCAAAGTTTTTAAAAGGCCATGGACAATAACAATCTTCCCAGGAACTTTGAAGCAGAACTTAATGTTGCATTTTATGAACATTTCTATGAACGAATCCTCTGATGTTTGTTGCTGAAAAGCTCAATATGAATTTCTGCCTGATCAAAGCACACATCGCCCAGTACGAGTTAGCAAAACTTCTTGTGATTATGTTTGTGATGGTAGGACAGAGAAGACATTTTTCAGATATAGCATAACTGTCCATATATAGATTTGGTGATCCAAACATCAACATGGTTTTGTCTTATTTAAATGGTGTATTCTCTTGATTTTTTTTTTCTCATTTTGAAGAGTTGGCAAAAGAAATGGGTCTATATGCACTTTTACATATCTGAAGGAACAAAGTATGGAGTAATATTTAGACACTGATCATTACAGATAAACTGAATTATGAACATAAGTGCATTTATTTAACAAGAATTGGATGACATTCATTTTATGTTTTTATCAACGGATTCTTTCCATTCAGTCAACAGATAATTAAAGATTGGATTTTTTAATTTTACATTAGAGAAATATTTTTGCATCCATTTTTCTACATACTCAGACTGTTTTTTTATTTACTGTAGATTGTCTCATTTTTATTTCTGTGTCCCTCAGACCTGATCCACTGCACCAATGAGCTGAACGTCAGCATCCCCCATCTGGCAGACACGCTGCTGGAGCGCACGACGAGCAACAGCTGGATTGTGGTTTTCAAAGCGCTCATCGCCACACACCACCTCATGATGTACGGCAGCGAGGTAAGCTAAACATAGCGATTGAGGAGCTCAGAACAGCAGCTTGTCTTCTCAAAGTAAAAAAAAAACAAGTTCCAGTATATGATTTTTAAACAAAAATGTATTCTTTTGTAAGCGTAAATCATAGAACAGGGTTTCCCCCGGCATATAATAAGTCTGGCGGGCCACCAGGCTTTACTTGCCCCCCTCCAGACTAACCGTGGTTTGTTCATTTTAAGTAGGGTTTAAAATGAAATCTATTTCACAAGCTATTATTTCCAAATGATGATACACTTCTCAGTTTTTGTAACTTCTAAAATTATTTTAACATAAAAACTTGGTGGGGCTTAACATGTTTTCTTGGGAAAATTCTGTGGAAGTCATATTTTTTTTCAAATTCAATCCCTCTCAAAAGTGTAATCAAGAGTCTTTGCGGGCAAGACTTTTATAATGCATAACATTAAGCTTTGATAAATAGCTTCCAAACTTTTTACCCCTTTGACGTGACACATATCCTGTTCAATTCGACTACAAAGCAAAAAAAAAATGTCAGAAGACCAAAAGAAAACAAGATGCAATAACCTGTTTGCATAAGTTGTAAAATTTTGTTGATGTAATTAAGGCAGTTAGTAATGAACACGTCCTTTTCATCAAGCAAGTTTGCATTAATTCATTGTGTGCGTTCGCTGAGGCTCTTGGATGAGATCGTATCTTGTTGACCTTCCTTCAGAAAGCCTGACTTGCTGCTCTGCAGGTAGCTCGCTCTCTCTCCGTCTCTCAGAGGGACGCCTTCCTCGTGTCCGACGCGGACCGATGAAGCTTCCCGCTGACATTTCGGTGGCCGGCCTGATAAGTCGCCTCGCTTTGCTGCTCGTTCTACACGATGAACAAGAGGAAAACATCAAACACGCTGAATGATGAGCAGCTGGGATCAGATGAGACAGAAAGCATGCGGCAGGGTGGTGACTCTCTAAAAGCAAAGCTTTTAGTGACCTGACGGTTTGGACGTTTTAAGGGCTGCTTAAACTGTCTGAGTGTGGCTTCTTTGACTGGCTTAGCAGAAACAGAAATCACTGAAGATTATAGACTAAAAATCAGACAGCTTTCCTTCTTTCTTACAATGAAATTGCTTTGTATAGAAGAGATGTGATTTAGGAAAGTAAGATTAATTGTATTAATCCGGGGAGTGGAAGATGAATGGTGTGAGTGGCTAAAACTGCTGGTAAGTTAAAGGATCTTCTGTAAGGGAGAAAGAAAGTTACATGAATCAGTTTTGATAGTAAAGTGTTGCTGTTAACCACAAAACCTCAGATGAAAAGAAAGCAGGAAAATCATGTCTTCGACCCTTATTGAAAAACTAATAAAATAAACCAAAATCTATTTTTTGCAGCTAATAAACATTTCTTAATTTAATTCCAACATTAAAAACACACTATCAAGGTTGCTGGAACAGACTTTAATGAGCTAATTGATTCATTTCAGTTACTTTGGGCAGTTTTAAGGAGTTTATGTTATGAAGTTTTGTTTCTGGACCTCTTTTTAAAGATGGCAAAAAGGAAAATTGTTATTCCTGGTAAAATTTGTGTAAAACTTCAAAGAATAAATTCTTTTTTTTATTGCAGCAGCATTATTATCTTTTGCAGAACATTTTGGTAAAAACGTGACCTTCAGATTGAGAACATTTAAAAAAAAACTGACAGGCACCACAGACATGGCCATGGTATTCTGTAACTTACCTGCTGTAAAAATTCTTATTTTATATCAGAAATTGAAACCAAACCCACTGACAAAGAAGATTTTAGTCATAGAAAACAAATTAAAAAACCTCACAGCTCTGAGCAAATAGTGCTTTAGCTGATTCAACATTTTAAATCTCTACACCTTTGTGTGACGTGTAATTAGTTGCCATTTCCTTAACTATGCAGTGCTTGTGTTATAACACAGCAGCTGGCCTGATTACTGCAGGCTTGTTGTTTCAATCCCTTAGGGTGTTTATTTTTTCAACACAGAAGATGTTCATTTTTTTCTAAATCCTGGGTCACCCTGTAGATTTCACCAAACACAAATAAAGAGATAAAACAACAACATACTCCACCGATACACATACAGAAAAATATATATAATAATATTAGATTAGCTTTTCCTTTCCAGCTTTACCAGAGATCATAGAGTGCCTATTTTTAAACCTCTAATTTCCTGTTTTTTAAACTAAACCCACACTGGATGATTTGCATGCCTTTTATGAATTATTTAAATGTTGCTGAGATAAAACGAGGTTACAAAGATAACCAATGGAGGCAGTAAGACTTCATTGTCTCCACAATTTAAGCATATTAGTCATGTGACACAGCAGGCCTGAGTAAGCGCATGTTAATACAGGGTAAGTGGGCTTTTGTCCAGGGTAAAAAGGCTTAAGAGGGTCATTTCTCCTGTGACACATAGAATTACCTTTTGTGTGTACCGATGGACGTCAGCTAATCTTCTAAGAGTCAAAATCAAGCAACGTGCAGCTAGCCGGTCAGAGAGCAACCTGCCATTTTCTAGACACCGTAGATTTTTTAATAATAAAGTTTCCATATAAAAAATGAAAGAAACACAAATTCAAAAAAGATGCCACTCCCACAATGTTTGCAATTTTTAACAAATTGATGCTGTGCTTTATGAAAACTTCTATTGGCTTCAAATAAGGCAAACTTATTTAATAGTTGATAAGACACACCAGAATAACCAACCACAGCATCATGTGCAGTTGGGAAAGAAATTTGGATACCTCATAAAATGTTTACCTTATTAATAAGATGTTTTATTCATAATATATTTGAGATGTTTGCAGATTCTGCTCCAACTCCCAGAAGCATCTCAGAGGGATCAAGATCTGGACTTTGACTGGGTTCAGGGTTTTCCTTTCTTAGTTTTTAACCAGGTCTTGGTGGTTTTACTGGACTGTTTTCGGTCATTGTTCTGTTCCGGGTCCAGTTCCAGTTTAGCTTAAACATTTTCAAACATCTCCGCTGAATTCATGATGACTTCCATGATAGCGAGCCGACCTGCAGCCAGACATCCTAAAACGTGACTCTTCTACCTGTGGGCTTCTTTTATTCCTCCAGTAATTTATTAGGTCTATTTAAACATCTCCACTATTGATCAGATAGTTCAAATTTAGACTCATCTGTCCAAAGAATATATCTCTCTCTGACCTTTATCTCTCTCTGAATTGATCTGGTCTGGAAACATGGACTCTATGTAACCACACAGTGCCGGCTGCAGGCTTCATGGATGCATGTTTGGGGTTTTGGTAACTTCTTGTAGAATCTTGCAGCCTGTTTTCATGGTAAACTTTCTCTGTTGGCCAGAACTGGGCATATTGGCAGTTCATGGCCAGTTCTGGGGCTTGCAGATGTCAAATATTATCTTCATGTGTGCTACATGCGTGTCATTTTAATTGCGGGAATGCCCTGATTTATTCCTCACCAGAATTGTTTTTATTTCTTTATTTTAAATATTACTAAAGATTATTTTTTTCTTTTACTTTTTGAAAATTGATATGAAAGATATGTGTTTGTATGAGTTTATCCTTCAGGAATATATTACAAACATATTCACTCTGTTCGAATTAAACTCAACTAAACTAAAACTTGCACAGAGATGCTTCTTTCATGACTACCACGTCTGCTCATGCGTCCCGGTGGACATCCCTCTCTACTGCCAGGCAGCGGGACGACATAAATCACTAACTTTGTCCTCTTTGTTTTGTCTGTTTTTCCTCCATCAGAGATTGATGCAGTACCTTGCCTCCAGAAACACGCTCTTCAACCTCAACAACTTTCTAGATAAGGCTGCACTACAAGGTGATTTAATGCCATTTGACTGTTTGTAGACTCAGCAGTGCTGCATGCCTGACAAAACAGCTTTCTGTCGGACTCTCCCTGGCTCTGTTTCACCATCAATACGCCAGTATTCAGAGATGATTTCAAAAGATCTGGGGCTGAAAAAGGAGCTCTTTGTTTGATACAGGAAGGTGCTGAATTTTGCTGAAAGCTGAAACAATGCCCAATGTGTGATTACATAGTCAGAAGCTAAAAAAGAAAGTGAATAAGTCTAAAGCAGAAAAAAGCTAGAGCTGGTTTTACAGGTGAAGTAGAAGGCGGTGCAAAAATGAAAATAAGAAGGTATTAAGGGACGTCAATAAGATGTAATCGGTCTCTAATGCTTTTCTCTCCAGGATACAACATGTCAACCTTCATCAGACGCTACAGCCGATACCTGAATGAAAAATCCATGTCTTATAGACTAGCCGCAGTGGACTTCACCAAGATGAAAAGAGGGTACACCTCCTGCACAAACAAACTGATGGCGCATGCAACGCATGTATGCCTTCCTCTTTTGTTCACCATTTCTGTGTGTGTGTGTGTGTGTGTGTTTCAGGGCTGAGGGTGTGATGCGCACCATGAACACAGAGAAGCTGATCAAGACTTTGCCCATCATACAGAACCAGCTGGACGCACTGCTAGATTTTCAGGTTTGTGAACAGCGGCTTGTGGAAACATCCCCAGCCCTTCATCTTTTTCACATCCTGTCGCATTAAAATCATATGCCTGAAGTGTAATTTGCATTTGTATTCAAACTCTTTGAGTGTGAATACTTTGATTTTCCTTCCTCCTGTTCTACAGCCAAACTCCAACGAACTGACCAACGGTGTGATCAACACAGCGTTCATGCTGCTGTTCAAGGACTCCATACGGTTGTTTGCTGCTTACAACGAGGGAGTCATCAACATGTTGGGTAAGTCAACAAAACACATAATTCATTTAGTTTGATGAAATTCTTCTTAGCCAATCGATTTATTTGCAACTTTCATCTAAAATTCAATTCAAACCTTTGATTAAGAGTGTTATTATAAAACATTTTGCATATAAGTTGTAAACAACTCCCATTTCCTTTCCACTTTTTCCCCCCAAAAATAGCTATTATTTATTTTGTGACATTAAAAGTAGTTATATTTATCACTGATGCCCACCCTGTAATTTACACCCCCAGCTTAGCTTAGTTCTTTAATCCTTACTTTTACAACTAATAGTTGAATATTATATAAGTTCATAAGATCATACATACATTTCCAGCTAATATTTGAAAAAGTATATATAATCCCTATTTTCTGATTAATATATTTTTAAAGAAGGAAACTGTGGCTTTTTTCCTCTTGTATTAAACTAAAGTTAACCAACAAAAATAATCCTAAAACCAAACTTTGAAAGTTCTCTGTTGTGTTTCCTCAATTTGGTCATTCCTTTATTTTTGTTAGTTATGTCACCATTTGTTTTGAATATTTTATGGCATTTATTTGGCTTTCAGAGTAATTTATTTGAATTTTATGGCAGACCAACAAAAGGTAGTGCAGAATTATAAAGTGGAAAGAAACAGATACATGGTTCTCTAAATTTTGCAAAGAAAAATCTGAAAAGTGTGTCCTACATTTGCATTCAGCCTCTTTGACTTTGACAGCACAAATCAAGGACCTTCAAATCCCTACCATGATAATAATGATCATCACTGATGTTTTAGAACAGCAACCTTTTCGATCTCTAGATGTTTAAAACTAGTGGGTGTGATTGTAGCTACAGGTGGTTCTACAAAGTATTGACTCAGAGCACAACACATCTGTTCAGATCTTCATTTATGCAAAAAGTTGAAAACCATGAGCCATTTTCAATTCACTTCACAATTATATAGCCCACTGTCTGAAAACATAAACCCAATAAAATATGAAGTGTTGCTTGATAAAACATAAAAAGTTCTAGGCTGTGTCTATAACCGGGCAGTGATGGATACCCTCTACTTTTTTCTTGTGTTTTGTTTTTATTTTGTCTGACAGAGAAATACTTTGACATGAAGAAGAATCAGTGCAAAGAGGCGTTGGAGATCTACAAAAACTTCCTGAACAGGATGACAAAACTGTCCGAGTTCCTCAAAGTGGCTGAGGTACCGTTTGTTTATGCCGCTCTGTGCTAACCTGGAGACGATGGGAACATCGGTTTGGAGCAAACCTCAGCAGCCCCTCTCATCTGGATTTCTATAAATCCACCAAATGTGCTTTATTGTTTTGTTTTTTTTACGTCTTCTCCCATGACAAAAATAAAAAAAATGAAATTGTCCACAAAATACAGCATAAAACTGTTGAGATTTGTTCCAGCCTTCTGTCACCCCCAAGAGTCTGATCTGCGGTCAATATTTACCCAAACGGACCGCAGATCAGCGTCTTCGGGGCTTCTCTCTTACTCAATTCTCAAATCTCTCTCTGCATCTAGATATTCTCCTGTTTCTCACAGTCTCCCTTGCCCTGAACTGGGGATTGGGTGTCACCAAGACAGACATTAATGGTTGAGTCTTAGTCTCTCAGAGGGCCACTCATGTACAGCTTCCCAACTGAGGGACTCCTTGTGTGCTGCCTGCTCACATGCCTGCACTGCATGCCCAAGCAAGCTCTTTTCTACCACTATCTCTGTCCCTTATTCCTCCTCCTAGAAAAACAAAAAAAGAAATATCTTTTGTATTTGATGGCTGTTATCCAGTGAGCAGCTTGTGCCAGACTTCACAGTGAATATAAATAGTTTTATCCTCTGCAGACTGCGTAGCACTTCGCCATGCGTCATCTTCAAAGGCTTTCTCACTGCTTGATTTCGTTCCCATTTGGAAGAAGGTTTGGGGTGCAGCCGCTTGATCCAAAGAAAAAAAGAGAGAAAGAAAGAAGGAATATAAAAAAAAGCAAACTAACGTTGACTTTAAGGACCCATTCATTTTATCTGTCTAACAAAATGTGTTTGTCTGTTTTGTGTGTCATCCGTGTCCCTCCCCCTTTCCTTCTGTTCAAAGTCAACATTAGTTGAGTGTCTTCCTTTTTGGATGTTTTGACCTGTTGTCCTCCCTCTCTCTCCGCCTGTTCAGTCAGTCGATGTGCTCCGCATTCATTTCCAACCAGTCTCCAGATTTCAGTGTGTGTGCGTGCTCATGTACTCTGTATATGTACAGTTTATGTATATATAGGTGTTTGTGTGTGTGTGCACGTGCCCTCCTCCCCTCCTCCTCTGTTGTCTTTTGTTTGTTTTCTTTTCCAGCCACTGCATGAAGTAATGAATGCTTGGGTTTGATTCTTCTTTCTCCCTCCTCCTCCTCCTCTTCCTCCTTCACGTGCCTCTTCCCTTTTCTTTTTCCAACTCTATGGTCTGTTGGGTTTTGTTTTTGGTTTATTTCTTGTTTCAGTACGACATTTGGTTTATTTTCATTTTGCCTCCCTCCTCCCTCCCCTCCCCCTTCCCTTTTTTGTGACACAGCGAGTTGGGATAGATCAGGGCGACAGCCCCGATCTCACACAGGTCAGTCTACATCTCATCTCAGTCAATCAACCAGCCAGTCAACTAGTTTATAAATCCGTCCAGTGAGTCTCATAATGCTTCATTCTTTAAGCTCCCGTTCCCTACTCACCCTACAGACCTCCCCACACTGCAGCTGCCCCGTCTTCTTCCTCTCTTCTTCACTCTCCTTGAATCCTTTGCTTTGCCTCTCTTTCAGTTTGAGTCTAGAATAGAGAGGAGACAATAAACATAAACCTGCAGTAGCTTTGAAGCAATATTTTATTTCTGCAATTGTTACCTGAAGGATTTCATGTTTTTTTTTTTTCTTATCTGAATCATTTCAGAACAAATTTTGCTCAGAGGTAAGATTTTTGTAAAATAATTTAAGCAGCGGGGTAATAACACTTTTTAGCATTATGTGAAGATTTAGTTTAGATGGTTATGACAGGATCATACAGTGCCTTGCAGAAGCATTAACACTTTAACTTTTTTACATCTTGTCACGTTATAACAACAAACGTTTGTCCATTTTATCTTGATTCTATGTGGCAGACCAACACAAAGCACATAATTGTGAAGTGACAGGAAAAGGAAACATCCGAAAACTGTGCCATACTTTTCTATGTAGCCCATCTTCCACTGATGCTACAAAAGACATCTAGTGCACCTGCAGTTTTAACTAAAATAAAGTCAGATATTCTGCAAAAGCCTCAGAGGTTTGTTGGATAACTTTGGGTAAGAATCAGAATCAGGTCAGACAGAAGGTTGTGGAGAAGTTTAACGCAGATAGTTTGTTTTAAAGTCAATATTCTGAGCTCTAAGCATCTTACAGCAATGAATGAAGCTGTGCAGGTTTCCACAACACATGTGGAGGAAATGTGTGCAAACAAGCTTGACCATAAAACATAAAGCATGCATTTCTTCAGCAGGGACATAGAAGTTGTTCAGGGTTTCTGGGAACATTGGTGGGATACAATACAGGAAAGTCCTGTTTGAGGTTCAAAAAGACTTGAGATTAGAGCAGGACAGCAAAACATAGAGACAGAGCTGCAGTGTAATTAATTATGTTCATTTTTGGTCCAGTCAACAGACAAGAATGTGTAGCAAGACTTTAAATTTGATGCTCAAAGACATACTCTTTGAAAAATTACATTTTCCAGATTTGTATTTGTAGAAAACACATTGCAAACTATGAGTCCTGTGTTTGTCTGCCACATAAAATACCAAAGAAAAGAGGTGGTTTCAACACCACAAAACATGAAAAAGTTCAAGCAGCAGGAATACTTTGCAAGGCATTGTAGAGTTTGTCACTTTTATTTCATTAGTCTTTTCAATGTAAAATCCAAGGCCTCTCTATTTATTAAAGGCTTTTTATGCAAACAGGGTAACTGAACTGTGAACACGAGCTTTGTCCCAATGAGAGCACAGCTCAGAACATTTTGTTCACAAAAATATTTCTGTCCCTTTTCATTAGCTGTGGGGAGAGCAGCGAATGGTTTTTAATTAATTAGGTTTCTGCAAATATGACTTGGATAGGTGTACATAATGCCATCATAAGTACTGCATAACATCCTGAAGGACTTCAACGCAGCTTCTTCTTTTCAGTGGACGCATATTTGATTGTTTACATTTTGACAAAATCAAGTTAAAAATAACTGAAAAGGGTTTATTAAAAAACAAAAAACTTGTAGTGCTTATGAAGACCTTATATGCCCTTATTCAACAACATAGTGGACCGTGCCTTTTACTGAGCTGTAGTTATGTCTGTTTTGTTTTTAAACTTTTAGCATATTCTAGATTTCTCTGACAAAGGATATGCAGAAATGGCATTTTACTCTCTTTCCCCCTTTGAAATAAGTATATGAGAAGACTTTTCTTTGCCTGTTGTGTCTGCGCTGTGTTTCTGTGATGCTGAAATGTAAAGCTCTGCGTGAGAACTGTGGTATCACATGTGGTCCAAATAAACTCATTCATCATTTTATTTGCTTTCCAGTTAAGAGTGCTGGCCAGCTGCTCAATGTGCATACCTGGCTTTTCATCAGATCTTTACATTTGATGGAGTTAACTGTCTTGGTTTCCAGAAATTTGCTTTCTTCTGATTATTTGACTAATTGACTAAAGTCTCCAAAACAAATGAATCATGCATTGATAGGGCTTTGACCCCAGAAATGGAGTCCATGAGTTAACTCTTTTGGGTGGTGATTTTCCGCGCGGGTGTAAGTGTGTGTGTGTGTCCTTTCGAGGGCGTATGTGAACTGCTGGCCTCTGCATGGGCTCATTAGATGGTTCAGAGACGAGTCCGTTGAGTTTCTTCTCTGAAGCCGTTCAGCGATGACGCTCTGCTCTGTCCCGATTTTGTCAGTCCTGCTGCGGACTTGCTTGCATGATCCAACAGCTACTGTGTGCATGCCGGTCAACCAAACCTGATGAAACCAAATGCAAAAGCAGAACAAACATGCTGTCGTAGAGTAGCACATGAATCTGAGGTCGGTGTTTAATTTCGCTGCTGCTTTTTATGTGTATGAGAGATACAATTGAGGAGACGGGGTGGTGAAAGAGAGCTTTTTACCCCACTTTGTCTTCCTGGCTGTGATTCTAATGTTTTCTCCTTAACTGCATATATCCCTCCCTCCCTCACCCTTCTCAGGCTCCCAGCTCCCTCCTGGAGGCTTTGGAGCAGCATCTCGCTTCCCTGGAGGGCAGGAAGCTCAAAGACCCGTCTACTGCCAGCAGGTATGATCAAATGGGGAATAAAACAAGTCAGGCCTCCTACACCAGCCACTTTGTTTTACTTTAAATCTATCTTTGATGCTGCTGCTGCTCTGCTAAACCTACTACCACCACTATTTGCTTGGTTTGTTGGTCTGCAACTAGAAATGCTACAATCAACAGGATTTCAAACAAGTGCAGTGACTGTACTTGTTTCAAAATCAACAACTGAACAAGAGCAAACTGATCTAGTTGGAAATCTCATCCAAACATAATCAGCTTTAATGTTTTATTAATTTAGAAAAGGAAAATTTGGGTGTTTCAAGATGGAATTTATTAAA